GGCTAATCATGTTCTTGCCCCCATCGATGGCGTCTGCGTTTTCTAAATTTAGCGACAGCCCGAGACGAGCATGTCAGCCTCCCAAGCTTCGAGGGCCGTGGTGCCCCTCATGACCAGCGAACCTCATACCCTAGTAACGCGAGAGCAAACCCTTTTCTGAAGCAGTATTTCACTGAAAAATTTGGACTTTGACATTAACTATAATAAGGACATAGCTAACTGCTTTATGTCAGTTTAAAAATGACGCATTACCTTTTCTGTGCACAGAAACTAGAAGATGCCCTGAGCAGCGAGCTGAGCGGCAATTTCAAGAGCCTAGCCAAGAAGCTGACTAAAACGCCCTGGGAAGTCATGGCGAAAGCCCTCTACGAGGCAATGCAGGGAGCCGGCACAAAGGAGCGCGTTCTCATTGAAGTTCTCGCCACCTGCTCAAATGATGACATTGTTGAACTGAAAAAGGCCTACGAGAAAGGTTTGTTTGCATTTGCTTTGGGAGGGGGCATTTATTTATTGCCCCGTCGTGCGTATTTTGCCTCTACTAACCGACTCTTCTTTTCTGCTTTAGTCCTGGAGGACGAGGGCAAATCCAAAGGTAATTAACACAGATGTTTACTACCTACTTTATTAAATATAGTAGTATTATTTTATAGTATTCCGGCGAAGACAGGCGCCATAGGATGGCCATTTCTGGCTTTATTAGCCGTCGTCAGCTAGGGGTAGCCAACTCAAGTGTAGCCGCTGAAATTGCTGCCACACGCGAGTTTCGAACTCGCGACTCGCCTGTCAGAGGCAAACGTCCTAACCTTTGAGTCACGAATTCTCTGTTTTGCCGGTTGTTGGTCGGGAGTATAAAGTAGTAGTAGTGGTAATAGTAGTTATGTAACTACTATAGTAGTATTAGTTTAATAGTAATTAAAACCCTGGTAAAAGCACTATATAAATGGTTGTGAAAATACGAAGGAGAGGTGTTCACCTGGCCTAAAGCGTCCCCGCAGAAACTTAATTTCGTCCCGTTTGGCGGCTGGTGTGCCACAGTGATTTCTAGCCGACAGTATAGCCCCTCCTCATTGCCGACGTCGGAGAACTTCACCGTTGAGCGATGGAAAATGTTGACACGTATCTGACCGATGAGTTGAGTGACTCTGGATGGCATTCCAGTGATTGCCAACGTATATGTGACTAGGACCGAATAGGCCCGTGAGGTAGTTTATTGTGAATAGCAGTACTTGTAGTTGTCCCTACTTGCTTTTGGTTGCGATCATGCTTGATCGGGTGGGCCTCAGCGATATCACAGATTGTATTTCGCCACCTGTGGCGATCCACCGCAGCAGATCTCGACAGTTGAACTCATTCGTCCATGAAGGTTCACAGATCGCTAATGGAAATCACCCGTCCCGCTCTGTCCTGGGGCCCATTCCCGAGCCCCGCCAGCAGCCGCACAGCAGCT